GCTGCTATCTTTGCTGTCTCACAGACTACTGATACCTCCAAGTACTATAAAATTCAAGGTGACTAGGGACTGGAGTGGATCCACTGCATGCTGCAGCAGCCCTATGGAAAAGTGGCCAGACTGTCTTTCACATGGGTCCCTGATCCCATATGTCCTCACTGGATGGGTCCAAACACCCTGGGTCTCCAGCCACTCCCGACTGGGGCCATCAAGTCCGTAGCAACTCTGCAACTCTGTGGGACAGAGCTCCCAGTGGGAGGGGTGGGTTGATGGCTTTGCTGTCTCACAGCCCTCACCTGTGCTGTCTCCAGGCTCTGGAGACTCTGTGAGGACCAGAGTCTGGTCTGGACCTTCAGTACAAAGCACCTACCTCATGGAAAAGTGACCAGACTCTTCTCCATGCAGGTTCCAGTCCTCACTTCTTCCTAGGCAGTGACGCCCAACCTGGGACTCCAGCACAACCTCCCTACTCCAACCTGACCACTTCAAGCAGAAGCAGCCGGTATTTCTCTGACGATGAAATCCCACAGGCAGCTTGCAACCCTGCACCACTGTAGCTGCAGTGGTACCATCCTACCAGCCCTTGGGCTGGGAAAGAACAAAGGGGCTAGTCACTACATTGGCACCTCCGGCATATCAACACCACCATACAGAGAGGTGCCCAGCTGCTCTTTGCTGGGAACTCCCACTCCCTTCTTTTTACCAGGCAGAGCTCCCAGCTCATGACCAAAGAACAGTCACACCACCCACAGCTAAGCATAACTTACTGGTAGTGGCTCAGAGTTTCCCCATGGAGAGGCTCCCAGAAGCATCTGACAGCAGCAGTTCTATCCCTGCTGCCCTTGTTCTGGGGAAGAAACAAAGACTTGAGGGCTACCCCCAAGCTTACACCATGCCACAATCACCATATGAAGAGGAGACCAGTCTTTCCTCCTGGAGAGCCCTCAACCCCCTGGTCCACAACAAGCAGAGCCCCAAGCCCATGCTAGCAATGAATCTACCCAGCTGCACTGGCTGGCTTCACGTTTCTCAGAGGTGAAGCCCCTGGGACAACTGAAAGCCTCTCTGCCACTGCAGAAAGAGAAGCAATGGTACTACCCATACTAATGAAGGAGCAAAGAACCTAAGTGCCTTATGCACAGCTCCAACAAGCAGCAGTCAACCGAGAGGAAAGACCAGTCAACACAGTCAACCCAGTCAACCCAGAGGAAAGACCAGTCTGTCTCCTACAGGTCCCATTCACACACCCTGCTAGCCACCAGGCACAGAACTAATGACTTGGACCTACTACACAGACCCCCATCTTGAGCTGATTGCCCTGAGCAATTGCTGACCTGCATCTCTGTGGGGTGGAGCCCCTAGGAGACAGGGAAAAGACCTTGTCTACAACCACTACTAACTTTACTTCCTGTTCTGCCTTCAAGTTAGGGAGGAAACATAAACCCTGAGATCTCTCCAGAGCTGTGGTAGAGGAAGACAGTCTGGGTGTGTCAAGTCATGATCTTCAACCAACACTCAAGTGGAAGAAGAGCCCACACTTTCAGAGTGTTGAGAGGGAGTACAGCTGCAACTGTGAGAAAATGTAAGAGAGCCACATGACTGAGCAAGAGCCTGCCTATGACCAGTATGCCTCAGAACCACCTAGTGGATCACATCTTAAAGCTGCAACACCAAAAATACCTTGCTAACATACACCCCTGTGAACCAAAGACAAGGGAGAAGCCAGCTACAAATAAGAAAGACCCTGCACAAAGCCTCAACTCTGTGAAAACATCCAGAACAGAAGTCTATAGACTGTACTCAATCTACACCACAGCTAAAGGAACACCCATACACAGGTATGAGAAAGAATCAATGCAAGAACTCTGGCAACTCAAAGGCCAGAGTAGCTTATGTCCCCAAACTATCATGCTAGTCTCCAACAAGGGTTCTGAACCAGGCTGAGGTGACTGAAATGCCAGAAATAAAACCTAGAATATGGATAGACCTGAAGATCACCAAGACTCAGGAGAACAGCAAAATCCAATAAAAGCAAACTCAGAGTTGGGAGCCAGCACTTTGTAATCCCAGCACTTTGGGAGGTGGAGGCAGGCGGATCACCTAAGGTCTGGAGTTCAAGACAAGCCTGGCATGTGAAAAACACACTAGAAGAATTCCGTAAGGCACTCACAATATTAACAACTGAATAGGCCAGTCTGAGGGAAGAATCTTGAAACATAAAGACAATCAGATAAAAATAAAGAAAAAAAAATGCAAAGAAATAAACAAAACCTCCTAGAAGTGTAGTATTATGTAAAGATGACAAATCTATGGATCATTGGCATCCCCGAAAGGGATGGGGAGAAAACAAACAACTTGTAAAACATATTTCAGGACCTTGTCCATGATAACTTCCCCAACCTCAGTAGAGAGATCAACAGTAAAATTTAGGAAATACAGAAGACTCCTGCAAGATTCTATACAAGAAATTTGTCCCCAAGACACACAATCTTCAGATTCTTAAAAGTGGAAATGAAAGAAAGGATGTTAAAGGCAGCTAGAGAGAAAGGGCAAGTCACCTACAAAGGGAGCCTAATCAAGCTAACAGCACTCCTCTCAATAGAAACCTTACAAGCCAGAAGAAATTAGGAGCCTATATTCAACATTCTCTTTTTTTTTATTGCATTTTAGCTTTTGGGGTACATGTGAAGAACACGCAAGATTGTTGCATAGGTACACACATGGCAGTGAGATTTGCTGCCTTCCTCCCCATCACCTATATCTGGCATTTCTCCCCACGCTATCTCTTTTCAACCAAGAGTTTTCTATCCAGCCAAATTATGTTTCCTAAGCAAAGGAGAAATGATCATTTTCAGATAAGCAAATGCTGAGGGAGTTTGTTGCCACCAGATCTGCCTTACAAGGTATCTTGAGAAAAAGCGCTAAATATGGGAAGGAAATACAGTTACTAGCCAAAACAAAAACACACAAGTATATAGACCAGTGACACTATAAAGCAACCACACAAAGAGGGGAACAATAAACACTGGGGCCCACTTGAGTGTGGAGGTTGGAAGGAAAAAGAAGATGAGAAAAAAGAAATATTAGTCCTAGGTTTAGCACCTTGATGACAAAAAAAATCTGTGAAACAAACCCCTATGGCACTAGTTTACCTATATGACAGACTTGCACATGTACCCTGAACCTAAAATAAAAGTTTTAAAATTATTTTATTGAAGAGGGAAATTGTCACAGGCTGGCTGATTGTATCAAATAAATATATAAACAGAATTATTTAAAATGGAGAATAAGTCAAGAGATATGATGCTTCTACTCACTTAATACATTGGAATTAATTGTGTATGCAGTATCACTTTTTTTTCATCTTAACTGACTTATCGTTACCAAATATCCAGTATAAGCCTTCATGTACCAGAGACCATTTCTCTTCCAAGTGTAACTGTATAGAAACTGAAAACATGCATTTACAGTTTGGAGGAGTAAATTCAAGAGATCTATTTTACAGCATAGTGATTATAGTTAATGACAGTATATTGCATTCTTGAAAAAAAATGCTACAAGAGTGGATGTTAAATATTCTCAGCACAAAACTGATAACTAAGAGAAGTAATACATTTTCTAATGCACAATGGTACAGAAATTTAGCCCATTTCCACCAGAACATAAATTTTAAGCTTTTAACAATGCTCTGCACTATTAAGTAGAGAAGAGAATGGGCTGTGGATGCTTCTGAGTCTGGCCTTGCCCACAAAATACATTTTGCCATAGAAAGAGGATTGTGTAGAAGATAGTTCCAAGGTGATTTTTTCCAAGTAGCTAATTTGGCTTGTTGAGAGCTTCCACTTCACATGTTCATAAAGCAAACAAATTCTAGGAGTTTATCAGAGACATGGCAGCAAATGGTTAACCATTTTTTAATGGTAAAATCCAACCTGATTTTTCTGAGTTCTCAACTCTCTCATAACAATCATTTAAAAGTATCTAATTCTTGAACTCAAACTTAACTATAATTAAACAATGTGCCTATTGAATAGACATTGATCTGTGAGTATACATTTTGTCACAAAAATCAATAAAGCCAAATGTAAACATGGAAATGAACAGAAATTGTTGAATTATGCATCACACGGTGCAATCTTTATGCCAACATGAGCATGCAGAAAGGCCTGCCAGTGCTATGTATATGCTACTTTTGATTCATGAATTTATGCTTCATTTATACAAATTCAGTATTTAAGGTTATTGTATTTTAGAGGTAGAGAAATCTGAAATTGTTAGTCCACCCCACTTCATTATTGTGCTATGGAAACAAGCCTGGAATGGTTGAAGAATTTCACAAATGAACAGAATCAAATAATGGTTAGGTTAGCATGGAGATCAATATTATATTTAATTTTATACAACCAGAAAATAAAAGTAAATACAGCACATCTTTGAACATAGAAATATCAACAAATTATGGTGTATTTGACAATCAAGTTTTGGAAGCCACTGTGGCCTTGTATTTACAAACATTAAAGATAAAATTATTCTCCAAAACAATAATGTCCAATAGATTATTAATAAACATTTGTGATAGCTGTAAAAAACCATTGTGTTCTCTAGAGTTCATGAAAACTATGAGCTTAATATCAGTCCAACAAATGTAATTCTGACAACTCTGATGATGTGATGATAGCAATTTGGCTAAGAATTTTTAAAGTATTGACAGGCAAAAATATAGATGAATTGTAATATATGAGCTTCAAAGAATAAATGCACAATTACAAATTTTGATATAGCAATTTATTTTTAAAAGTCATTTGAGGAATCACCAAATAATGTCAAAATTATGATTAGAAAACCAGCAATGAAATTTGAGACTATTGGTATGACAAATCCTGTTTCAGGCCTTGTTGATCTAGACTTACTTGCACAACCAGCATGTGCCAAAACAGGAAATAGGTGTTTCATATATACGGCTCTAACCTTTTCTCTCTCCACCTTCCTTCTTTCAGCAGATGAAACAAATACTTCATCCTGCTTTGGAAACCACTGGTAAGTGATACCTCCTTTATTTCAAGGTGAATGTTTTATTAGTTCTGAATATATTACTTTATCATTGACAAGGTGAAAAACACATTATACCTTGTCAGTGATAAAGTGATATATTCAGTATATTTTAACTATGATTTTCCAAAGTCTATGGATAACTTTTACTGAGAGTAATTATCTTAATATGTTTATTTTAAGCTGAGAAGCTAACATATGAAGATTTATTATTCCAAAAAGACTTTTATCCAGTTTGAAATTTAAATAAATTTTTATCTTTCATTCCAAAGTAATATAATTAATTCCCATGTCTATGACTTTTGGAAATAATTATACTGGAATTATTTTTAGTAGAAAACTGAAAAAGTATGAATATATGTATGTGCATACTTTCACATCAGTAACTTTTACCAACATTAAAACATAGAGCTATATGAGAAGACATAGCAGAAGTTTTAAATTGGCCAAAAAAATTATAGCACTGACCTTGAGGTTAAAAAGTATTTTATTAAAGATCATCAACATAAATGCACTGATGAAATGCACTGAGGTCAAAAACAAAAAAAAAAAAAAGACTTTTAGAACTGTTTCAGTCAAAACTCAATCTACTCAGTCATGTTTATGCAGGTAATTTAAATATAATATCTATCATGCATATTTCATCTAAGGAAGCAATTTCCACATACAGCTTCATATTCTGTAGCACATTAGAAGTGATTCTGGAGAATCAAATATTAGGAGACTGCAGAACTACCTAATGACAACATGAAAGGAGTTATTTACCACTAGGAGGAAGATTTTAAAGTAAAATACTTTTCTTCCCTGTAGCTAAGTGCCATCCAGGAAACTCTGAGAGTACTTAACAATAGCCATAGAAGATATGGTGTTGCCACTTCTGCTAGTTAAAACCAAATCTAGAATGTCTGCCTGTAGATTAAGACCTCTGAAAGTGGATCAAAAGAAATTAAATTGATGACAATGACAAGTTTCAAGCCTGAGAATTACTCTACATTGATGAGTTGTGAGGTAAATTGGGGCTTCTGATTTGTAAGAGGCAGGGATGAATTGGGAAGAAGAGTTACAGAATTTGCAAGTAATGTAAATCTGATATTGCTATGAATTTCAGCTGTTATTTATTGAATTCCAAGTAAAAGGGAAGGAATTCATTCTTGAAAAAAAGTGCTTCTCAGGAACTGGCAAGGCAGCTATTCTTGTTTGCATATCTTTATTAATTTCTTGATGAAGTCTAGCAGTTTTGCAAACTTTGCATATTAGCATAGACTGCTTTCTGTATCACAGATACATAATGAGATGAAAGAAAGTGATCAAAATAAAGATTAACTGTTAAATTTTAAGTAAGAAAATACTGTATCAAATACTTTTCTGTGCTGTAACTAGTAAATAAATGTGTCTATACCTATAGGGCACACATTAGACTTACATGTGTTAATACTTTTGACATCTTTTCTAATACACATAATCCTTTAAAATATTTCTATAAGTCTGTACTCCCTCCAATGTGTTTTGTTTTGTTTTGTTTGTTTTGAGACGGAGTCTCACTCTGTCGTCAGGCTAGAGTGCTCACTGCAACCTCTGCCTCCCAGGTTCAAGTGATTCTCCTGCCTCAGCCCATGAGAAGCTGGGACTACAGGTGCACACCACCATGCCCAGCTAATTTTAGTATTTTTACGAGATGGGATTTCACCATGTTGGCCAGGATGATCTCGATCTCCTGACCTTGTGATCAACCCACCTCATCCTTTCAACGTATTGAGATTACAGGCATGAGCCACCACGCCCTGCTCTCTAATGCTTTCTAATGCTGCCTCGTTTGATCTGTCTCTTAAATTTTCTATTCACATCCATCAGTTGATTTATCTGTTCCTACAATGATGTTAAATTTTTGTCAACAAAGGTTTGATGTCTTTCTTAGTAACTAGTATGAAAAGATAACCCAATTGATTTTTTTTTTTTTTTTTTTTTTTTTTTTTTTTTTTTTTTTTGAGATCGAGTCTCACTCTGTGAACCAGGCTGGAGTGCAGCAGTGCAATCTCGGCTCACTGCAACCTCCACCTCCCAGTTTCAAATGATCCTTCTGCCTCAGCCTCCCGAGTAGCTAGGATTGTAGGCACACACCACCATGCCCAACTAACTTTTGTATTTTTAGTAGAGACAGGTTTCACCATGTTGCACAGAGTGGTCTTGAACTCCTGAGCTCAGGGAACCAGCCCGCCTTGGCCTCCCAAAGTGCTGTGTGATAGGAGTAAGCCACCACGCTTGGCCAATTCTTCTTGTAAAAGGTTACTTAGTTATTCATCAGCCATTCAACATTTGTATTGGAATTATAATAAATAATTATCAGATATTCTAAGATTGATATCTTTATGTTATCATGTACCTTTTAAAAGCATTACAAAACTCTCAATTTATTCATGTCTTCTACTGTATGCTGTATTAAAGTTTTAATATTTTCTCTAAAAAATATTTTTCAAATTTTTTTGTTTTCCAGATACTTTATAGTTTTTTTAACTGTTATAAGTGTTTTTCAAATCATATATTCTAGTTGAATGTGCCCAGTAATAAAAATGGTATTTTTGTAAGTTGCTAGCACATCTAGCAGAATTGTTGATTTTGGTGTATTCTCTAGATAGATGATCATATCATTTGAAAATAATAATATTACCACTTCTCTTACAAAAGTTAAAATTATATATATATATGCATATATATGTATTTTCTTTTCTTATGGCTTTGATTAGGATCTCTCCAGTATTATGTCAAATAATAGTATTAGTCATTCTTTTCTTGTTCCCAATATTAAATGAAATGCACCTAGAGTTTCTCCAATAACCGTTATATTTGGTATATACATGCAGTATATGCTACTTACCAAATTAATAATCCCTTCAATTTTTTCCTTTTTTAAAAATAACTACATATAGGGGTTGAACTTAATAATGTATTTTGTGTCATATTACATTGCTTTAGTCTGTTAATATGATGAATTTTACCAATGAGCTTTCTAATTTTGAATTATTCTTGCAGTCTTCATATAACTGTATTTGTTCATGATATTTTTAATATATTTTTGAACCTGGTGACTTAATACTTTGTTAGGATTCTTGCAATTCATTTGTGAAGTGGGTTTATGTATTATTTACTATTATTCTTATATGTTTTATGAGTCAATCTTGGAATTATATCCACTCCTCAGATTACATTTCAGGAAAAAGCAGCATTGGGAGGAAGTAGTCAAGCTAATTTGAACCACACAACACTAGGGAATAAGAAGGCGTGACTGTAAGAGCACTGGAGTGTGGTATCACGTATGACCTTATTATCATCAGTTCTTTACACAGGATGGTTCTTATGAGTCCTTGATGCTACTTTGCTGACATATAGCACTAGGACAGGTATTTTTTGTTGCTGCAGAGTTTTGCAATAAAGAGGAATCAATGATTATTTTGAGGCAAAAGTAAGAACTAACAGGCATTACTTTAGACCAACCACTGCTGTTGGATGCAGCACTCTCTTCTACTTCACATTCACCACACAAAACACACACACACACACACACACACACATGCACACACACACACACACACACACATTCATCCATATACACATACTAGAAGTCATGAGAAACTTTATTCTTCTCAGATGTTCTCACTATATTTTCAGTATTTTCTTTGAATCCCCGTTTCCCTCTTGCTTCTATAATTCCTTCAGAGTTAATTTTGGGGTGGCAGCAAGAAGCTTGACTATTTTGATATTCTGCCTGCAATAAATGCTAAAATCTTGCTTTATAAATGGACCATTTGATGAATTCTCCTCTTAGCAACTAAGCAAATTTGTCCTGCTTCATATTTTGCAAATTCTTATTTCCACAAAATGAACTGTTAAGGCCAGATATACCTATAGATATTTTGTTGTCAGTCAATATGCAGTGATATAAGGTCATTTGAGAAAATATATAACACTCTCTTTTTCAAGGTAGTATTTCAGACACACCAGTGGTCCTAACATCAGTGTAAAGAAGGCACAGTATGTTACAGTTTAATTGTATCATATACATTTATGCTTCAGAAAGACACAATTTGCTGTCAATCTGGAATTAGTAGCAAATCATCCCCGTTTGAAATTGAAAATCTTTGAAATCCAGAGATTCGATTTTTCTCTAATCACACTTGAGATAATTATTAATTTCTTTGAAAAAGGGAAACCAAAGTAGGACAGAAAACCACATAAAACGTGGGACTTGGTGACTTACACACGGCAAAAGAAACTCTTTCATGGGAATTGAATTAAGAGAAATCTAATGTTTATTTCCAGGAAATGACAGAAAAATGTATAACTAATACATTTAGAAATTGTCTTCATGAAAATAAATAACAGGAGAAGCATTTTTTTTTAAAAAAATCTTTTTATTACCTTCTATGTGTCCCTACTAAATTGAATTGCAAATAAATCATTTTCCACTTGCACCTGCTATTTATAGTAGTCCCTGGGGAGGAGAGATAGGGATGGAGTGAAATATTACAGTGACCCTCTGTCAACATGACCAGTCTTACAGCTAATGATAGAACTTTATCATGTTTACCTCATCCAAATTATGTACTCCCTGAGCCCTGAATTGTGCTAGATTCTTTCTCATCTCTCTCCAGAAAGCATTGTAATGGATCACTGTAAAAGGAAACAAAATTTTATTCTCCTCTTTTGCACACATGAGAAAATTCAACCATCTTCCACTCTGGGTACTTGAATGATGAGCTCCCATAATGATATACTAGGACACTGAGGGCGAGAACCATGTCTTCTTCACTGATCATATTCAGCAATATTATAACATGTTATCCTGAATAGAGTGTACAAACTTGATCAATGTCTCCTAAAGGAACGAATACCTAATTGTCTTTGACTTACAAATGAAAATAAGGATCTGTTTTTCCTCTTTTGCTCTCAAATTCTGCAGGAGGCCTACTCAAGACCCCATTTCTAAATACAGCATTCTAGGAGTTAAGGCATCAATATATTAATTTACAGGTGGAGGCAGGACAGCATTACGTTATTTTTTAGTGAGTTCTGAAGTCTGTAACATGAGTAGTTCGAAATCTTCTGAAGTTCCAGATCTGCATTCTGGCAGTATCATTTTTTGTGGATTGTTTTTCAGGCTTCAAGTTTATTTATTGATGCATTGGACAAAATAAAACCACAACTGTGTTATCAAAAAGTATATCTCCCCTGCCCCCATTTTCTTGTTTTTCTATTGGAAACATCTTTTAAAAAGTGATACAAGTGGATACTAGCAAAGTTCCATATTTGTGGGGTGATTGTACAGCAATGCTGGGACAGGATGGTTTGTGACACTGACTTTAATAGCATCAAAATGGGTTTTGCAAGTGTATATCAGACTGCATCCCAACACCTAGATTCACAGTGGTCAGGGTGAGGGGCACGGGGACACTAGTTAGGAGAAGGGAAAACTGAATTTAGTGCTGGGGACCAGTTTGGGGTGCAAAGCTCTTCCTTTGGGAGCTTTGTGGGGATTTGGTATTAGATAAGTTTATAGTCTAAGGAAGACCCAGCCCCAGTCCTCAGCTGGGGTTGAGGAGGAATCAGTGAATAACTAAGATGGAAGAGGTTTTTTGTTTGTTCGTTTGTTTGTTTGTTTGTTTGTTTGTTTGTTTTGTAGGATGAGTTACTCTATTAACATTCAGTCCAAAACAGAAAGCTAAGAATCTACCATGCACTATTTACTCTGCTTTTTTCTTTTTCTTTTTTAACTTAACATTGAAACATAAGCTTTTTCTCTGAGTTTACAAAATCACCATAAATGTATAGTGGTTTTTATGTCTAATATACTGCCATATGTGGCTGTATTCTCATTTACTTAGACATTATATCTCCCTATTACTAGGCATGTAATTAATTTACAATGTTTTAACCTTTATTAATGATAATGCAATGAAAATTGTATGCTTAAAACTTTTCCAATATAGTTTATAATTTCAGTAGGATTGTAAGAAGTTGAATTAGTGAGACAAAGGATGTGAACATATTAAGGATATTAATACAGATAGGGTTAGTCATTCTTTAAACATGAGAATCAAATTATTACCTTTTGTTTTAAGATCAAGAGGAAGAATATTGCCTTTTTAAATTTGAGGCATGGTACTAAAGATAAAGTTTTGAGAGGAAAAGTGGATGCTGGCTACATAGCTAAAGTTGAAGAGAGTAGTTTAAAAGTATGAATGAAAAGCATATACTTAGAGGACTTTCTAGGTTTCAAAGAATGGCAAGTGTACAAGTCAGATCCCTGAAGGAAAAGAACTGGTACATGCTAACTTCTAGTTTGAAGAGATGCTAATAAGGATATAGTTGTAAAAGTGTAGAGAGCACATAAGGAAATCAGCAGGGGCTAATGCAATAGTACCCAGTAATAACCACAGTTGGAAACCACTGAATTGGCAGTGTGAAGAATCCACTCTGAGAACGTAAAGAGAGTAGTTACACAGAGAAGACTGCGGAGCTGCGGAAGTAGGAGGTAGAAAGTCCTTAGCATTTACAAGCATATTTCAAAGGCTTCAGTCGGGAATTCTGGTTTGCTCTTTATTGTCCCAGTTGGAGGCATACTTCGAAAGTGAATCTACTATCATTCTGCTGGCTCCATGTGACAAGTTACACTAGTAATGAATGTAACTTCTCCAGTTACATTAGTAATGAATTTGGGATGGAGGTCATTGTGTTCTTTTCCACCCGCATGTTACTCAGCAGTTCATGTACTAATCATTTTAATACAGATCCTTGTTCTATTGGTTTTGTTTTCCCAGCAATGACATTATTTCCCCTGCTACTGTTCCTGGTTGCTGGGCTGCTTCCATCCTTTCCTGCAAATGGAAGTGAGGTATGGTTAAACTCAAAAATCTTCAGAAAAATTCAAGTAACCATGAGGGATAGCAAGTTACTAGATCAATCTTCAAAAGTGAAAAGGACTAGAGTGTCTGGTACATTATAAAGTACTCATTAGTAGCCCAAGGTAATTAACATAATTATGTTTAAAGCTGTGGTGCCCCTAGCCACAAGAAGGTACTGAAGTTCATTAATTAAATGACTTTCCTCTACCCCCCAAATTGCTTTGGAGATCCTTTTTTTAATGTGGTAAAACTATCTTTTGAGTGATCCCATAAAATCTGCTATGCAATACATAAGACTCTCTTACTAGAGTATTGCATGTTACACATGCACTTAGACTGAGCTTAAGCAGATTTTCTAAACACCAGACATCACATCAGGCAGAAATTTCCCCACTAAAGTCTAGGTAAATCCTATACCCTACTCCTTACCACTTCTTTGCTGCAGACTGAGTGTGAATGTCATAATAATTCTTATCATGTACCATTGTCACTATGTTATCACTCATATATCTAGAAAAATCACATTAAGACCTCTCTTAACTCAGAAATTGGTATTTGTGGCTTTTGAGGAGATTTTAGTATCTCACGCCCATATTCCCATTCTGAAAACCTTCATCTAATATCTTCTCATTAAAAAGTCATAGCTTTGGCTGTCATCAACAATGTTTAATAACTAATATTGGCTCAAACACTTTTTTTAAATGGTCTTTAATCCCTCGAACTAACATAGTTACTATTGTGTGCAATTTCCAACAATGTTAAAAAAATAATTCTAATTTTATTTTCCTGAAGGATCCCACTTTTACTGCTTTGTCAACCACCCAAACACAAGTGCAAAGGGAGATTGTCAATAAACACAATGAACTGAGGAAAGCAGTCTCTCCACCTGCCAGCAACATGCTAAAGATGGTAAGAGGTGGTATTGCAAGGAGAGAGTTATGAATCAGCTGTGGAAGGAGGGGGCGGCAGGCAACTAAAATATCTTAATAACTTTGAGGTTTACGAAGTTCTATCTCTATTTTGTTATTTCATTTGAGCTGTGTAATGGGCAGAGCTGAATTTCTTAACTTCTCTTTATAATGGTTGTAAAACGTCAAATTTATAGGGCTCTTAAAATAATGGAGGCAGAATTAAAACCAAATCTTTGGACATACAGTGAAAAGCCATTATGTTTTTCTGCTTACTATCTTATCTGTCCCAATCTAAGATCAGAAAGACCTTTTCCCTTTAAGATAAATGCCATTTAGGGTAAATAACAATCTACGGTTCTGGGCCCAGTACCAAAAGCCACATGCCTTCCAAACATATTCAAATGAGCGGGTGGAAAAAAAAAGAACTGGAAATGAAGTAAGTTAGCTAATTACTTCATTGTTGGAAAACCAATCTTAACAACTCCACGTTTATCAATATTTAGAGTAGGACCATTACTAAAAATCTTTAGGTGTTTCTGTTCTGTCATAAATAATTAGACCATAAACCTAAAATTTTCAATTACTTAGCATAGGCATATTACCTATATTTCTTTGTGGAGCAGAAAAAGGCACATCAAAAATACATTTTTGATTACTATAAAAATCAGAAGAAGCTTGTACAGAAATTTTATGATGACATAAATCAAGCTGTAACCTGATTATAAAGCTTATGCTCCTTTGAGGTTTGAGACAGTAAGTGGTATCTTTTTTCTGTGCTTGTTTCAGAAATGGAACAAAGAGGCAGCAGCAAATGCCCAAAAGTGGGCAAATGGGTGCAGTTACAGACACAGTAACCCAAGTGATCGAAAGACCAGTAAGTAAATTAGCAAATATCGTTGGATAAATGAGCAAGTAAAATAATAAGAAACTGTGTTATGATGTTGCATTAAGAAAAGTTTATAAATAAATCTTGCTTCTAATGCTACCTTTTTTCTAGTTAGAATATCTCTATATGTAGAGATAACTCTGAGAAGCACCATCTGTGTTTATTGTTTTATATAAATTTCCAGGGAGGGTAGATATTAAAGAAAAAAGGCTTCTCCATCTACTCAAAGTTTTGCATGTTGAAACCAGCCTCAAGTATGGTACACATGTGGCTTCTATTCAGCTTATAGCTGATAAGGGTCTTCGGCACCCTCCTTATGTATTAGTCAATATTCATTGGTAATGGGCATTGTAGACAGTATTTAAAAAACAGGGATTCACCAGGCGTGGTGGCTCATGCTTGTAATCTCAGCACTTTGGGAGGCTGAGACAGGTGGATCACAGGATTAGTAGTTCAAGACCAGCCTGGCCAATATGGTGAAACCCCATCTCTACTAAAAAATACAGAAGTTAGCTGGGCGTGGTGGCACATGCCTGTAGTCCCAGCTACTCAGGACACTGAGGCAGGAGAATTGCTAGAACCCAAGAAGCAGAGGTTGCAGTGAGCTGAGATCATGCCATTGCACTCTAGCCAGGGTTACAGAATGAGACTCCATCTCAAAAAACAAACAAACCACCACAACAACAAAAAATAAAAATAAAAAAATAAAAAGAGGAATTCATCATGTGGCGGGGAGGGGGGTGTCTGCGTCTGTGTGTGTATTTTGCCATTGCGTGCTTTATTGCTTTCCTCATGAGTGGTCTGTTCCTTCTTAGGTCTAAAATGTGGTGAGAATCTCTACATGTCAAGTGCACCCAATTCGTGGTCACAAGCAATCCAAAGCTGGTTTGATGAGCGTGATGATTTTGACTTTGGTGTAGGGCCAAAGACTCCCGATGCAGTTGTTGGACATTATACACAGGTAAGGAGAAGAAATGAAAAACCATCACCTTTATAAATACCCTTTTAAAAAAGATTCCCAAATTTTGACTGATTCCAAGTTGAATTTGAGAAAAATTGAAATTTGAAAAATTTCAAGTGAATATAGAATACTCTGGCATTTGGTGAGTATTTCAGCTATGAGCTGTCATTTTTCAATAGTCTTCAGGATCATGGTAGGGAAACATACTCTATGTCTAACAGTCTAAAAAAGGAATGCACATGGAAATGTAATATTTAAAAGTGTTTTCTTTTGATTCAATAATTTCACTAAATGTAGTCATAAGATACATGAAAACAAAATATGTCATTAACATTCTTCTCTGTTTTGTATTTCCTATTATTTGTCTTTTGGCATTTCCTTCTTCTCTAATGTGCTCTCATGTCTTCATTTATAGGTTTATAGGTTGTTTATTGATTGTTTGGTTTGGGTTTATAGGTTGTTTGGTATTCTTCACACCTCGTTGGATGTGGAAGTGCCTATTGTCCCAATCAAAAAGTTCTAAAATACTACTATGTTTGCCACTATTGTCCTCCGTAAGTATATATTTTAGAGTTTACTGACAATGATGCCAAATACAATTTAATATTTTTAAATTATAATACAAAAAGAAACAAAAAAGCATATTTTAGTAAAAGTGAAGGAGATTAATCTTTAGAAAGATTTTGAAGTTGAAGCACATTCAACCAACTTCTCAGAAAGATAAAGTTTTCAGTTCCATTTCCAAGTATTATTGAACAGTATTTTCTCATGCCTAAAATAATTTGTCTCCTCTCTCAATTGCCTTTTCCTATGCTCATGGTTACTTCATGAGTACATGGAGTATGTAGTTGTCTAAATATAATTTTATCAGTTTCTGCTAAGTTCACACACAAGAAAGTGTGAGGAATGACACATTTTGGTAATGTCAGTCATTTCTGCTCACATACTCTTACTCATGCTTATCAGAAAATTTCACATTATACCATTAAGAAATGATTAAACCTAGGACCTCCAAGACTTTTCAAGGACCTGTAATATATTTCAAAGATCCAAGAAAAGATAATTTCTCAAATCTTTGCTTCTTAGATTTTATCCCAAAAAATCTTTCATGGAACCATTCATTAAGCTCTTAATTTCTTAATAATCTTGGGTTTCCTGCAGGAAGTCCACTGATTTCTCAAGCAATATATTTGATCTACTCACATACACACAAAAAAAATCTGTGGATATGTTGAAGATATATTCACAACATGTCTATTAGCTTTAATTTCCTTTTAATATTTGAAATTATTCACCACTAGTGGGAGGGGTTTTCTTCAAACTCAGCTTTCTACATGACTTATTTTGAGGCTTTAGGTCTCCCAAGTGATGTAGGACTCCAATTTGAGAAATATGACCTATGAGGTCATTTTTCAGCAAAGAGTTATCACTGTTAATGCAGAAAATTGAAAGACCCTAGGAGACCGCCTCCAAATGCCTGGTCATGAGAGGAGAGCATCTGGAGTCAGCATTTAAAGTGAGAGTTGGAATTAGTATTGAGGGAAAGCAGGGAAAAGAGAACTTTCAGAACATTTTTATAACTATTTCACATTTTTTTTTACGTGCTCACACACCCACAGCTATATTCTGTGATGGAAGGCTGAGATTCCACTACATTGCCTTGGACATTAACCTACTTAGTGCAATTGAGACTGTAACTTTCTTGTATGTTCAGATGATAATTTATGAATAGCAAAATAATCATCAATGAGGTACAGACTAGTCACTGTAGGACAAACTCACCCTGGATTCTGGTGTTAATTAAATCTTTTTTCCCCTAACATTCCCATTCTTGGCAAACATAAACATCTCATACACACCACCTTTAGATGTTCCCAAACCTTCCCAAGCACAATACCATTTCACAAACATACAGCAAAAACCATGTGAAAATCCTCCCACCACCTGAAAGCCAAATTTATGCTGAAACTGTACTTATCCGATTTCATATTATAGAAATTGTTACTTTTTATTTTTAATTATAAGTTATATTTAACATTAAATGTTATTTTCCATATTGCATCCTTCTGTGCTTCAGGAACTTTTCTTATTTCTCTAGGGGATATGTTTTATCCCTAGCAAGCACCTTGTGGTACATCATCTTATCAATTTGACCAAGTCTATTGGGAGATAAAGTGTGTTGCCATGTTGAAATATACTGTGAAAACTTTAGACTTTAGTTATATTATTTCAGTTGCTCAGGTTGAGAGATTATGATCAGGAAAGTGAATGAATGTGTGAATTATTCCCTTGACTTGCATTATTGTCTGAATATATTCTGAGAATATTAAATTTTTAATTATTTGACATAATTAAAAACATTTAATAAATACCCATGTATACTTGGCAGCTGATATTAACTTTGGAACATAAACTAAATAGAAAACTGAAAAATATTGACATTTTTAATTTCAAATTTCAGTGGTAATTGGGCTAACAGACTAAATGTCCCTTATGAGCAAGGATCACCTTGTGCCAGTTGCCCAGGTTATTGTGACGACGGACTATGCAGTAAGTTTCAAGTGATTAACTTGATAGTGAAATACAATGATCTGACATTTCTTCTATGAATTGCAAAATCTGAAGGCAAACAACTTAAGCAACGCCTTCATGCAAAGAACAACAACAAAATGTCTGGCTCTGTTACCCAGGCTGGAGTGCAGTAACACCGTGTCAGATCACTGAAGCCTCTACCTCCGGGCCTCAAGTGATTCTTATCCCTCAACCTCTTGAGTAGCTGGGACTATAGGTGCATGCCACCACACCTGTCTAATTTTTGTACTATTTGTAGAGATGGGATTTCACCATATTGGCCACACTGGTCTTGAACTCCTGGCCTCAAGCAATCTGCCCATCTCAACCACCCAAAAGTGCTAAGATTACAGGTGTGAGCCATTACGCCCAGCCTTACAGAGTGTTTTTAAGTGAAATTTTTACACTGTTCAGAATCTATGTGTTATTCGCAATGTAAAATTTGGTCTGTTACTATATGTAACCTGATGAAACACCTACTGTACATGTTATATATTGGCATATATTAAAATGTGCCTGTGGAAATAATGTATTATAATTAAATATGAAGTTTCTTCTCATCAAAGTTAATATCATTATTTGAAATGTAGCATTTTTAAAAAAAGGAAAACAAATATACATCTAAGTGTATGAGACCAAAGAATATGGTTCAATCCAGACAGGGACTCCAAATACTGCAATTTATCATATGCTAAAGAATTTATCATACTAACTTCCTCATTTTTGCCATAGTGTAGTTAGAATAATCAAGTTTAATATAATAATCGCTTGTGCTTCTGCTTGCTAATAATTTATATACATTTTAAAGTCAAAATTAAATAAGTACGTATTAGCTCACAGAATCCTCAAAAACATTTTAGCAAAAAGGAATAAAATAAATATATATCACATACGATTCATTTTATGATTTTATAAATAAAAGTATGAGTTGATATTTTGTTTAACTAGTATGTGTTATTAAAGTTATTGACAGTGCAGATGACTCATCCATTGAGATTTTTACCTTTCAAATGAATTCACCTAATTGTAAGTTTCTTCTGACTGAATTGTATAGCTATAATTCAAATTGTTGATAATACCAAAGCTATAAATCAACTAAAGAAGGAAAAGCCAAAAATTTCCAGCACTACCGAATGCTGCTTTCTAAGAAGCTTTAAATTTAAAATTTATCCTATTGGTAATTGGATGTGAGTCAATTGAAAGATTTTAAACAGAAGAATGATAAGATCTGAGCTGTGTTTTCTAAAGAGCTCCCAACAGCAATGGGAAGAAACAATTGGATGAAAGCCAGCTGGGAGACTATTAGAAAAACACTCCACCAAAAACAAATGGATACTTTTACTGCATTAGGGCAAAAATGAGTGAAAAAATAATAGACAGGTATGAAAAATAGGAAGAAAGGAGACTAGTCAGTTTTTGTTACCTGGTCTTGTTGAGTGTTAATTTAAAAAAAGAAAGAAAGAAAGAAAGAAACAATTTCCAGTTGATTCCTGGCTCCTGGCTTGAATTGTTTAATAGTTGGGGGTGCCATTTCTCTTAAACTATGTGAATCAAGTGAAGGGTTGTTGGGAAACAACAAAGAAATATCAAGGGGATAGACAGGATGATGGATTTAGTTTGAGATTTGTTGAGTTTGTAGGACATCTAAGTAGACATGTCCAATAATCATAAACACATTCTCTCCACCTTTTATATTTTACATTTACATCTTTCTATAATAATTACTTAAACCTGAGAGAAAGACTGGTGGCATTAGAGTGCAGAACAACTGTGTCCAGTATAACTTACTACAGTGCTGGAGATGTTCAATATTCTCACTCTCATGTAAAGTAGCCCTTAAACACATGGGCTACTGAACACTTGATATAACTGGTGTTGCTGTGGAAAGACCTGAAATTTTAATTTTATTTAATTGTAATTAATTTAAGTTTAAACAACCACATGACAAATATCTACTCTTTTGCATAGTGCAGTTCTAGAGGAATTCATTTAAATTGATTTTATTCTGCTCACTTGTTGAGTGAGGAAAATATGTCAGTTCATCTTAGAAACATTTCCAAAAGCTCAAAATTAAAAGGGAATAAGTGTTTTTATCTAAAAGACCTTAACATATCCTTCAAAATATAAAATGGTTATTTTGGTGTAGTAATAACAACTTGTTTGCCCGATTCTCTACTCTCCATTCATACGGAATGTATTGCTTGTGTTGCTGCTATGGAAAAAAAATACAATGAAGTGACTAATTTATTTGTTTTTATTCCAGCCAATGTTTGCAAGTATGAAGATCTCTACAGTAACTGTGCAAGTTTGAAGGCCACATTAACCTGTAAACATCAATTGGTCAGGGACAGTTGCAAGGCCTCCTGCAATTGTACAAACAGCATTTATTAAATACGTATTACACACCAAGTAGGGCTACGTGGAGAGGAGTCAGATTATCTACTTAGATTTGACATCTACTCAGATTCAACATATACTTGCTGAGAAATTGTAGGCATGTTTGATACACATTTGATTCTACATGTTTTTCTTCTGGATCTGCTTTTTATTCTACAAAAATCTCTGTCATACATAGAGTTAAAAAAAGTAACAACATCTATAACAACTTTGGATTTTTTTATATATAAACTTTGTAATTTAAATTTACTGAATTTAATGAAGATGAGGATTTTGGAAGTTGTATTCTCATACAACTAAGTTCACTAAAATCCTGGACTGAAAGTGAGAATTATGTTCCCAGAAGAAAATTTACAAAAAGAACAGAATATAATTTTCACATGGATCCTGGGCTGTTGTTGCCTTTCATAGCTCCACTGTATAGCTAAGCACCTTCAAAGAAGTGTTCTCATATGCTGTCTTAATTCCTTTCACATATTCACCCTTCTTTCCAATCATCTGTCTGGCATTCTCACAACTGAGTGGAAACTGTTTTTCCTAAAACAACCCTGACTTTTATTTTGCCAAAATCAATACAATCCTTTGGTTTTTTTATCTGCATAAATTTTACAGAATATGATCACACCTTCATTTTTAAACCTCTCTTCTCTGTGACAAACCTTCCTTTAAAAATAATTCAAAATAATACAGATAAATACCCTCCACTCGAGTAGGTGGAACTCAGATCCTCCCTTGTGAGCCTTCACTAAACTTGATGACTCACTTCCAAAGAGTAGAGTGTGGAAAGGAAAACATAGTAACTTTACAGCGGAGAAAAATGGCAAATGCCGACTTCACCAAGTGATCAACATTAACGTCACCAGTGACGCCATGTGGATTTGTTCTATGTAATCTTTCTAAAAATTCATAATCCTAACATAATAAGTTAAAACATCCAGCAAACTCAAATTGAAAGATATTCTACAAAATATCCCTGAGGTATTTTAGACTATTCCTCAAAACTGTAAAAATCATCAAAAATAAGGAAATCCTGAGAAACAGTCACAGACCACATGAGACTAAGGAGACGTGTGAGCCAAATGCAATGTTCCTTCTTGGATCAGATCCTGGAGCAGTAAAAGATCAGTAATAATAATAAAAAAAAAAATGACGAAGTCTGAATAGAATCTGGAGTATTTTTAACAATAGTATTGATTTCTTAATCTTGAACAATATAGCAGGGTAATGTAACATGATGACATTAGAGAAACTGAAACAGGGCAAGGGCTATCTGGGAATTCTCTGTACTCTTACCAACTTTTCAATAAATCTAAGAAAACAATGCAAAATAAAAAGTATTTTGAAAAAAATACAAGAACTTTTTTTTCTTGACTCCATGACACATCATAGCTTTCCATCAGGGCATCTAGTTATTCTCTCCTAGACTTTACTCTTAACCTTCAGTTCCTTTATCCCAGTGCTACGTGTTTGATTTTGTCATCTTTTCATGGACCTTTCAGGTAATACCAGTGATTTGGCTGTCTTATCAGATTGACATGTTTACCCAGTATCAAACTTCAATAAAAATTTTAAGGATCTAAGTAGTTATGAGGCAAAGGAAAACAGGGAATTGCAAGACCAGTAGTGCAGTTCCGAGATGCTATTTTGGCTGCATCTCTTAATTTCTTAAGCAATAAGCTTCCTAATTAGTCTTCATTCAAAACCTTTCAATAGGCTTCAGAAGTAATTAGTATAATATTCACGATCTTAAACTGATCTGCAAGAAGTTGAATAATCTTTTTTTATATTTCCCTCTCCAAGCTCACTTTATTCCACCCTCCCTCGTTTCCTCTGCTCGAGTAAGATGAGCCCATTAAATTCTCTCAGATTCTTCACAATCATTCTTACCTTATGGTGTTCGTGTTTGCTATCAGCTCTGCTTGGAACAGTGATCACTGTATTATTCACTAGAATTGCTACTTCACATTAAACATCATTTCATCAAGAGATTCATTTGAGCACATAATGTAGAGAAGCTTCCCCCATTTTCTCTCAGAGTTCTCTATATTTCCTCTTATAGTAATTATCACAATGTGTAATAATTCCTGTGCTCAACAAATATTTATTGAAAACACTTTTGTCTTGGGTATTCAGTTAGGCACTTTGAAATAGAATAATTAGCAAGACAGACCAAATTCCAAATGTCATGAAGTTCACGCTCTAGCAGCAGAAAGAGAAAGAAAACTATCTTGCAAATAAACACTTAATACAACATCAGGAAATAACAAACGCTATGATCTAAAGTTGGAAAGAGGAGAATAATGGGGATAAGCTGAGAGGAGAAAACATTAATTTAAATAAGATTATCAGGTAAATGATCTCTAAAGTGCTAAATACTATTTGGAGCTTTGAATTTATCCTGTTAGTAATGAGCAACCAAATGTAAGATTTTAAACAGAAGAGTGACAAAATCTCAATTGTGTTTTATGGAACAGGAACACAATACAAGCGAGAGAGCCAACAACAGATAATTTGATGGAGACTTTCAGGCAAGAACAGTAAGTACAATGTTACTGAGGTAGGAATAAACTTGGCATATTTGATTAAAAGCAAGAAGTCCTTAATAGCTGAAGTAGAGGGAGCATGGTAAATAAAATATTAAAAAGAGGTAAGAAAGTTAGGCAGGTATCTGGTTATATGGTGCCCTCTAGGGTAGGTAAAGTACTGTGGTATTATTATAATTAAGATGGCAAACCATCACAGTATATTAAAGAGGAGAGTGATATTATTAGATGTATATTGTGAGAGGACAAGAATGGAAGCAAGAAATCAGTTAAGGGACTATTTCCTAGAAAAGGGACTAAGTTAAATTATACTAGATTATAAATATATATGTATATATATATAGGTAAGATACCATATTAATAAAATAAAGATATAATATGATCATCTCAAAAGATGCAAAAAATGCACTTGAAAAGATTCAACATCATTTAACGAAAACTATTTTCAGAAAACTATGAAAAGAAGATAACTTTCTCATTCTAACATACAGCAGCTACAAAATCAATCCCTGAGCGAATCTTATACTTAAAAGTGAATGACTGAATTTTTTTTCTTTTAATTACTTCTTTGAAAAGACAATTGCATCACTTTTCATCTGAAAGCCAAAATCAGGAATAAGGCAAGATGTCTGTTTATACCACTTTTGTTCTGTAAACCAAAAAGTATCACAGACAAGTGTCAATCAATTTAAAAAGTTTATTTTGCCAAGGTTAAGGACATGCCTATGACACAGCCTCAGGAGGTCCTGATGACATATGCCCAAGGTGGCAGGGCTACAGCTTGCTTTTATACATTTTAAGGAGATATAATACATCAATCAATACATGTAAGATTTAAATTGGTTCAATCTGAAAGGGCAGGACAACTCGAAGCAAGAGGGCTTCCAGATCATAGGCTGATTTCAGCATAATTTGATTGGCAATTAGCTGAAAGAGTTATTATCAGAAGAAAGGAATGTCTGGGTTACACTGGGGTTTGTGGGGACCTAGGTTTATCATGTAGATGAAGCCCTCAAGTGGCAGGCTTTAGAGAGAACAGACTGTAAATGCTTCTTATCAGACTTTAGGTCTGTGTTGATGTTAATGCTAGAGTTATATGAGGCACGTCCAACCCCCACTTTCCACCATGGCCTGATACAGTCATTTAGGTAAAACTTCAGAGTGCCCTGCCCAAGGAGAGAATCCATTCAGATGATTACGGAGAACCACTGGTTTACAGTTCACTTTTTAAGTTGTAGCCAATGCAATAAGTAAAGGAAAATAAAGGTATAGAGATTTTTAAAAAGGCAGAAATTGCCTGAATTTGAAAATCAAAATGATCTTGTTGTAGAAAATCTGAAGGAAAGCTACTAGAACTAGTAAGTTTAGCAAGGTCAGGTGACTAAAAGGAGGGAGGATATTGTACCAGTAGAGGAACAGAATAAGAATTACAGCGAAATTCCTATTAGAAACCATGCAAGCCATGCAAGGAAAAAAAATAAAAAGAGTAGAGTGAAATAGCATGTTGAAAGAAAAAAAAAATCAAGACAATGATGAAGAGGAACATAGTTTTGACTGATGTATACCAGAGGAGGGGGCAGCAAATATGATTGGAAGTGATTTAAAGATTTGTGAGAGAGAACATGGCAGGACTCTGTATATTTAACTCTTATTCTATTTCAAGAGCCAGACATCGCTCATCACTTGTTGATGAGATCTACAATGATGGTGATTTACAGCTGCAGCTAAACATGAGAAATGATTTCTCTGAAGCCTTATGCTACATATGTGGGCATTATCTCAATAAGAGCCTTCTGACTCAAATAGCTTTCATTGCACAGAAAACAATATCCATCAAAACAAGTGTATATATCTTTGCATAGGCATAAAATATAGCTGGAACTGTTCCAGCAGTGAATCCTTATAGGTCCACAGCAACCTCAATTCTTGCCTCCTCAGAATAAATAATTTGACCAATGGGGCATAAGGCAGAAAGAGAGACCAAGGCAAGTTTTAGAACAGGAATGTAAATTTATTCAAAATCTTTAAAGCAAGAATGAAAGGAAGTAAAACAAACTTGGAAGAAGGCTAAGCAGGCAACTTGAGAGATCAAGTGCATGGTGTTGTCAGAGCTATGTGAATCAGAGGAACTCCATCTTAAATATGGGCTATATAAAATGATGAGACTGAGACGGGGCTGAATTCCCAAGTGGCTAAGACATTTCGAGTCACAGAATGAGACAGCAGGTCAGCACAAGATACAGATGATAAAGACTTTGTTCATCAGGTTGCAGTGAAAAAGTCAGCTAAAACCCACCAAAACCAAGATGGTGACAAGAGTGACCTCTGGTTGTCCTCACTGCTACACTCCCACCTGGCCACAAATGCCATAGCAATGTCAGAAACTTACCCTATATGGTCTCAAAAGAGGAGACATGAATAATCCACCCCTGGTTTAGCATATAACCAAGAAATAACCATAAACATGGGCAACCAGCAGCCCTCCTGGCTGCCCCGCCTATGCAGTAGCTATTCTTCATTCCTTTACTTTCCTGGTAAACTTGCTTTTACTCACTCTGTGAACTCACCCTGAATTCTTTCTTGTACGAGATCCAAGAACCCTCTGTTGGAGTCTGGATAAAGACCCCTTTCCTGTAACATCTTTCCAGTGACCATGAAGGGAAGACACTGAGGAGACTCCCAGTCCAAAGAAAATAGGCCACAGCTCTGATTGGCTGACTTTGGGTAAGGGGGAGGTGCCTATACCTAGGTAAAGAATGGGATTAGATGAGAGGCCCAATTTAGAAGAGTTAGAGGCTCTCCTAAGACAGAGTAGGTTAAAAGGTTTCTCTTAATAAAAGTAGGAATGCCTGACTGAACTTGGGTTCAAGGCCCAACTTAGGAAGGTTAGAGTCCTTCCTAAGATTTAGGGGGTTAGAGGCCACCCTCCATAAAGTCCCTTTTGGCTGAAAATGGGTTTGGCACTACAAAATGTTAAACACTATTCTCTTTGGATTGATCCACCTTGTACTCTTTGCTTACGGCTGTGGGTGACAGAATTAGGCATGTAAAGGATCATGGGACATGGGGAGCTTTTTCCTCCCTAAAAGGGGAAAGTTGATTGCCAATAGGAGTAATGGAAATGATCCCTTCTCAACTGACAAGCAGTCCCCTGAACTTTTGATTCAATGCTAGCTGCAATGGGCAGGTCTTTCTCTGGCTTCCCTGAGGGCCTCACCTCCCCATTCTGCTGAAAGTAATGCCTTTCTCCCTTCCCTTTCTTTTCTCTCTCTGCAAATTGGTTGAATGAATGGTAAAAGTCAGTGTTTATTTTCTCCGTAAGGATTTAATTAATGGGAAAAAGGATTTGTGAGACTAGTCTTAAACTGTAATAAATCTGGTGTGCTTTGTGTGTCTTTTTGTATTGTTCTATCTTAAAAGAATGGTACCTTAGGATAGAATATGGGCCTAGCACTCCCATAAGCCCACTGTTCAAGATGCCCAACAAACTGGTTATTTACAAACTTTGCTTCAAGTCCTTAAAAAAAAAAAAAAAAAATGAGGTTTCTGTTTTGTTTTGTATGTTCTTGGGAGCTTGACCTCATAACCACGTGATGGTACTTTCTATTGGTTTCCGCCATCCCAATGGCAGCCCAGGTTCTAGGTCATAAGCTCCTTTTCACTTTGAAAACAACTGTGAATAGAAGAAAATGCACCGATTACTCATCGGCCTTCTTAAAGAAGCAGCATGTCTTTAACCAACGCATCTTCTCACTCATAAGTGGGTGCTAAACAATGAGAACCAGTGCTTGATACACGTGCTAAACTTGAAGCCAGGAGCCTTGGGTCAGGAGTATTTTCTTAAGAGTTGTTCCTGTTACTCTTCATGAATTTTCTCACCACAAAACTGTTGCCAACGGGGGAAGAGGGACAAGAACAGGAAGTGTTTAGGAGCCAGCCTGAAACTAACAACCTGATCTGTGTAACCCGGCGCGCGCTGTTCGCACGACACTGGCAGCAAACATATTGCAAACTTAAGCACCTGTGACTCCCAATTCGCTCTTTAAACTGAACTACGTTAATTCCGGCGTTCTTGTCTGAATACGAACGCCTCCTTTTTCGAGCCACCCCCTGGGCATTCCTAATCCTTATATGACCTCCCTCCTCCTCCTAGCATGGCCCAGGCACGCGAACAGACATTTTCTTTCCTCATCAACTGGTGGTAATGAGAAAAAGAGAACTCCGTGTTTCACAAGGGAAAAAGTGTAGCATTCTCTCCGTGGTGGGGGCGGGGAGGCGGTGGGAGGAGCCCACGTAGGCGGGCAGCAGCCATGAAGGCATAAAGCCCAGTGACGTCGCCCACACGTGGCGCCTGGAAAGAGCACAGTCGCGGTGAGAGGGGCGCACCGCAGCCAGCTCCGCCCTGGTCCGACTGCAGGAAGGTCTGTGCTCTGGGGCCAGGGGAACTGAGAGACCCAGATTAGAGACTAGAAATGGCCAGGGGCAGGGAGGTGGGGTGAAGCACAGGGGAGAGAACCGTCGTTGAGGTGAGGGGGCTTCAGATCTGCCTTTGAGCCTCTTCAGGCACCTGGAGGGCACAAAGCTGATGTAGGGCAGACCGAGAGTTCACTTTTGTTGCTTAGCATCGACCCACCAAAACTTTCAACATGCTTCTCTATGTTTAGACTGTTGAAACTCTTTACCTACCTTAAAAGATAAACCATTCTGAGTACACAAGACCCACTAAATCATAATAGAAGCCTGAAGCCATTTCTAAATATGGCTTTTTAAGAAGTCAAATTAAGACACTTAGTTTCTAATTCATGTTTTGAATGTACAGTTATTAGAAACTAATAATTAGAATTGCGGTCATTGACTCTGCTTTATAGCATCTATTGGCTTCCAGAATTAAACACACACACACACACACACACACACACACACACACACACCACGAAGAGATAAAGCTGTGACCCACAAATCCACATAGTTAATGCTCATTATGTGAGACACTGCTTATGGAAATTATCTTTTAAAGAATGGGTTGAAGTCCTAGATAAGGGGTTGGGAGTCTTGAAAACAGGTTGCAATTTTCCAGGCAAGTTAGGCAACTAGTAGTTACTGAACTTCAAGAAGTCCCTGCTTTTTGCTAGTGTTTGAAGGAAATATCAGGACGTCGAAACACAATCTGACCTCAGAAGGACAATATGGTCTTAACAGTGAGAACAAATAAATGCAGTAAAGTATTAGAAGCAATACTGAGCAATTGAGTTAAATTTAAGTTTTTGACAAAGATTATAGATACCATCTATAAGGTTTTTGTTCACATCTTTATTTTAAATATTTTTGTTTCCTTGTTCTAGGGTTATAAAATCATACACAATGGCCCTCCTAAAGACACTCTGAAACCACATCATCCTGATCTTAAAACACCTGCAAGAAAAGACACAGTACTTCACCATTAGTAAGTAGCAAAGAAAAAAAAAAATGGTAGCCAACTTTTCAACTACATATCAATGTGGGTTTAAAGGAATAAAATGTAATTATACAGAATAGAAAAAAAAATATTTTTTCTTGAATATACTGTCATCATTGTGACATTGCTTTCATTAATGCAATGAAGATGATTTTAGGTTAGATGGTTGAGGGTATGGGAGAGAAGAGCAACAAAGAGGAGAATGTGACATGATGGTCTGTTAGAGAATTGTGGGTCCTCAGATGCAAACACTGGGTGATTGAGCTATACAAAAATCTTCAGGCCCATGTGTATGAGCTGATGAGGATACAGCAGCCCAGATGTTAGAGCACTTTCCTAAAGTTAGACAGAAGGTCTGTAATAGAACCAGGCTTTGAACATGGGAATCTCGAATTAGATGATACTGATTTTTTTTTTTCCTATAACACTGGAAAGAAAAACATGTCTCTTAAACACTTAGAAATCAGCAATTCAATCATACAGCATATGTTTATAGAAAGATCTTATGAGCTCAGCAAGCTAGCAAGCATTGCAAAGAATAAGAAAAATATGAATAATTTCTATTTATTTGTATTATATGCATAATTTGTTTATTGTATTGGAGGTGTTACATATATTGTGCCTTCCAGTCTTCATGTTATACCAAGTGAGTTTGATGGCACGGTCTGAGTTTGAACCACCAGTCCTTTATTAATTAGCCAGCAACTGAGAGAATGTTAATGCTCAAAATTCTCTTGGCCCCAAGGAAGGGGCTGGATTCCTTTTTATACCTTGTTTAAGGTAGGAAAGGGGGAGCCTAGCTGGAGCAGAGTTTACAGAAGCAGAACAAGCAAGTTAGATAAGGAGGTTGGTAACTAGGAGGCAGGAGGTTCTCATTATTGTTGATTTTCAAGGAGGGTATACACGAGCAGTTCCCATGATTACCAGTTACCAAGGGGGGTATTTGTCACTTGTCATATAATCAATCAAGGGGGGCATTCACAATGGCAAGTGGGCTTGCCAAGCAGGCTATGGTTACAAAGGTTATGTGCTTCTATAGTTCTAAGTACAGCATGACCCAGCAGAGTAGCAAGACCCAGGTATGCACTTAAGGGAGGAGTGGCAGGAGGGATGAGGCAGAGGTCAAGATGGAGTCTATTGGGCCTCGGCAAAATGGAGTCTGTCTGGCTAACAGGATGTGTTAGCAAATTCAAAGCAAAAACCTGTGATATGACAATCTACCTTTTACATAAGAAAAAACCGAAGCTAATCATGGCTTTCTCAGACTTGATGGTTTCTAAAGGCTGCACTCATAAACAATAAGCTACAGGTAGTTGATGACTAGAAAGTAAAAGTCATAGACAGCTGAACTGTAAGAGTTCAACTACAAGGCAGAATCCTGGTAACCTTCACGGTAATTAGCCTGTCTTAGGTTGTCAGTATAGAAATGCTAGTCCCGGCCGGGCGCGGTGGCTCAAGCCTGTAATCCCAACACTTAGGGAGGCAGAGGCGGGTGGATCACGAGGTCGAGAGATCGAGACCATCCTGGTCAACATGGTGAAACCCCGTCTCTACTAAAAATACAAAAAATTAGCTGGGCATGGTGGTGTGTGCCTGTAATCCCAGCTACTCAGGAGGCTGAGGCAGGAGAATTGCTTGAACCCAGGAGGCGGAGGTTGCGGTGAGCCAAGATTGCGCCATTGCACTCCAGCCTGGGTAACAAGAGCGAAACTCCGTCTCAAAAAAAAAAAAAAAAAAAAAAGAAATGCTAGTCCCAAAAGGCTACATCTAGATTATAGTGTGCCTAAGGAGAAGGGAGGATTGATTAGAGAGGAAGGACATGATCTACTTACTCATGTTAAAAACTATGTGTGAAGCAAATAATGTCAAAAGAATTATCAGACAACTGGCAATGAAATTTGAGGTTAATTGGTATGAAAAATACTATTTCAGAACTTTGTTGACTTAGATTTATTTAACAAAACCAGAATTTGCTAAAACAGAAATGTGTGTAATATATATGCTGCTCTAAACTTTCCACCTTTCTTTCTAAAGATACAGCAAATATTTCATCCTGCTCAGAAAACCAACAGTAAATGATAACAAAATAATGTTAGTTTGATATATAAAATTTTTTTACATTTTATTCTAAAAGTAAATAATGGAATTAATTTTTAGGTTTGTGACTTTAAACATTTGTACTAGAACTACCTTTAAGAGGAAAATGGAGAAGTATGGCTGTTTAAGTATATCGTATAAGCTGCCATATTAATGATTTTAATATTAACATATGCAGTTATGTATTAATGAGGGAATTATTAATGTAAAAATAGAGGATCTCCATCGTGCTGCAGTAATGTCTGCTTTTTCCCAGTTAAAACTGTCTTTTTCAACAACTCAATGTCTCTTTCAAAATCATTGACTTTGAAGTCGTAATTGGATAAAGACTAATTTCTCCCAGAACCTAAGAACATATTATTGGCATAGGTTAATCAACTGTCTTAAGCCTTAATTACTTCATCTGTGCAATATAAATACTAATGCCCAGTAAGGTATGAGAGTGAAATTGTACATCATTTTCCACGAACCATCAATAGTTGTTCATTCCCTCTCCCTTTTTTGCACATCATTGAGGATAAAGGCAATAGATGGAACAAGTTTCAGTGATACACTAATTATAATAAGTGGAAGCCTGAGAAATATCGCAGATAAATTGTTTGGAATTTTCTTTCCCTTCAAGAATTTGGGAGTGCTAATTTCACACCCTGGAAACAAATCAAGGCAGCATAACTTAATTTACAGGAAAACAATTTACATGACTAATAGCAGAAAATTCAGTGTTTCCGAAACTAAGTGATCTTTTTGCTTCATCTGAAGGATGTAGGATTTTTTTACATATTAAGAAAGGACAAAATGGGTAACAAAACACTGAGTGTCTTTTTAGGAGATAATGAAAATATTAATCAACTTTCATACCAAATAATGGAATGAGTAAACTTGAACAAGCTATATTTTTAATGCCTAAATTGTATTTTTTCTATACAGAGAAATTTGAAAATATTCACAAGTATAAGGAAGAAAATAAACATAACTTCTAGTTATGCCATTACAGAAATAACAACTAATAAAGTGCGCAACCATATCTGTGTGATCACAGCCTTGTCATCTTAGAGTCTGGTGTACATAAAAGAACAAACCATTCTATTTTTCTAGCAAATTGAGAGATGGTACATATTGAAAATAAATTTTCCTCCAAACATTGAGACAAATAATGAATGTCAGTACTATAATTAATTGTTAAGGAATCTATTTTCTTTTTTGATGGTGTAAGGGTAGCAGAAGTAGTCAGAAAGAAGGGACCATGTCTCTCTTCTTTATAAATGTACCTCACGGGCATCAGTAGTATTCTTCAGCTTATTTTTTTTTTTAATTGTCACGATCAGAGGCAAGGTTGGCCCCATTATGATTCTACTGATACCATAGGGCAATTCTTCTCTTATTCCATTGTTAACAAATATGCGAATCACAGTTCCTTTAAGATAATCGAGCTTATTACATTGGATTTCCCCTCTTAGAAGTTTTCAAACTATTTCAATGCAGATCTTTGTTTTCTTTGACTTAGTTTCCAACAATGGCTTTACTACCGCTGCTGTTTGTGGTTACTGTGCTGCTTCCATATTTGCCTGCAGAAGGAAAGGTAAGGTTAAAACAGAAAATTTTTTTCAGAGCTATCCAGCAACTTTGTGGTATGGCAGGCTATTCTGAAAGTAAAGGGGATAAGAGTGTTTGGTATGTCAGAGTTTCCACTGGTTCTTTCAGAGTTCTCAGAGCACTTAACATGATTATTGAGATGAAAGGCCAAGGCTATGCTGTATGTATTCTGTTTGTGTATGCTAGCCATCAGTCACAAGTGACTACTGAACACTTGAAATGAGGCTTGAATGGGCAAGATGTACTGTGATGGTAAGAAACTCACCCGATTTCAAACATTTACAACAAAGAAGAAAGTATCTCATTAATTTTTTATATTGAATCCATGATAAAATGATAATATTTTGGATATTCAGTTAAATAATGTATTAGGTTCTTAGGGCAGTTACAACAAATTACCACAAGCTAAGTGGTTTATAACAACAAAAACATTTTCTCACAATTACAGAGGCCAGAAATCTAAAATCAAAATATTTGCTGGGCTGTGCTCCCTCTGCAAGGATCTAAGAGAGATCTGTTCCATGCCTTTCCCCACCTTCTAGTGGCTTCTGCCACTGCCTGGCATTCCTTGGCTTGTGGCTGTATCACTGCAATCTCTGCCTCCATCTTCACATTATCTTCTCTCTATGTATCTCTTATAAAAGCCCTTGTCATTACATTCAGGGGCAACTGGGTAATCCTGGATAAGCTCATTCTGAGATCCTTAATTACATCTGCAAAGACGTTTTTTCCAAATAAGATCACATTTACAGTTTCTGAGCATTAGGACATGGACATATATTTTTAGAGACTATCACCCATTACAAATAAAATATATTATTTAAATTAATATTACTTAAAAATTAAAATTGCATAGTATGTTTAAATTATTTTTCTAATAAACATCAGTGGTCTATGGATTTAAAAAGCTGATGATAGTCTTCTTGCCCCATTCTCTTTTCTGGTTTCCTTAATTTTATTCATTTTTAATGAAATTCCCATAAAAAATTAACAATATGCTTACATAATCTTAAGTTAGCTAACTTCTCCACTATATTAGCACATTTAATTTTCATAGTTAGGGTATAAGAATAATTAGACTTGGCTGGGCATGGTGGCTCACACCTGTAATCCTAGCACTTTGGGAGGCCGAGGCAGGTGGATCACGAGGTCAAGAGATCTAGACCATCCTAGCCAATATGGTGAAACCCCGTCTCTACTAAAAATACAAAAATTAGCTGGGCGTGGCAGCGTGCACCTGTAGCCCCAGCTACTTGGGAGGCTGAGGCAGGAGAATCGCTTGAACCTGGGAGGCAGAGGTTGCAGTGAGCCGAGATTGCCCCACTGCACTCCAGCCTGGCACCTGGCGACAGAGCGAGACTCTGTCTCAAAAGAAAAAAAGAAAAGAAAAGAATAATTAGACATATTTTTAATTAGAAAACAAAAACCCTAACTCTGAAAGTCTTAGTGTTTTGTTTAGTAATGATTATAGAGTTAGTAGGTGGAGGGCCAAGAGGATTTTGAATTCAGATCCTTTAGTTATTTCTAATATGCTACTTAGTTTAATTGACCCCATAATATGGTAAGCAATTTTCAATGATAAAATATGCAGTGATCAATGTCTCCTGGCCAAAAAGCCTCTGAAACAGCTTTGGTCACTGCTGTTTGTTGTCACATCTTGCATTGACTCTGGGCACACTAGACTTGCTAGGACTCTTCAGACTGCAGGACTCTGACACTCTGTTCAAACTTCATTTGGCATTCAGAAATACAGTCATTGCATTACCGTAATTAAATTATCACTGTGCTGATAATTTATTCATCACTGAGGGCCTCATTCAAATAATTTGTTGTTCTTTCCATATCTTTCCCCAAAAGATTTTCTTCCATACCCCTTTTGAATCCGCTTTTACCTCTCTGGTCCATCTCCTGGTCTTCATTTATAAAATTATTAAAAAGTGAGATGTCATTTGGTCTTTGACACTACTAAATGTTTGCTGATCAGATGTTCTATAAACACTCTGCCCTGTATGATTTTCTGATGTTTTCAAGGTGCCTAGAAACTCTATTCATCTTTCAAAACCCCAATCCAGAATCACATTTATGAGCTTTCCCTGTCTTCAAAGAATTGATTCCTCTTGCCTCTCTATATTGTAGATCCCTAATATCAGTTTTGTTATTGTATGTATTATAATTTTTTACTTGTGTCATGCCACCTATTCAATATAAACTATTTAACATTAATATATAAGGATAAATACCATATTTAATGTAAATATATAAGGATAGATACCATATTAATTTTATTGTCAATATGTTTAATATTTCTAGTCATGCAATAGCTTTCTTTACCGCATTAAAAATACATCTCTTCTTCAATACAATTTTTATCTACAAAGCAAGAAGGGGAAAGAAGCAGGAAATACTTTAGAAATTAATTTTTCATGTGTTTTGTATTGAACCCACCATAACCAGATTTTTTTAGGTCAAGAGGAAATATCCAGAGATGTTATTTTATGCTTTGATGTAACGCAGAAATCTGCCTCTACTGATACTTTATATCACATCCTTTCTAACTTATGAGTCAGTAACTTTGCCATATTCATTGGTACAATGGCATCCACTATTAGTCTCTGTTAATAGGAACATAAAATCAGGAAAGAGAAATGCATATATACTAGATAATGGCAATAATGTGTTCAGACCTATGGTATAAGTACTTTGAGAGCCTTAAGGGAACTCAGTATGAGAGGAGAGGAGGAGAACTTATTGCACAGTGTCAGAAAAAGTCTATAAGGGGCCCTGTCCCTTTTAGATTTATACTTCAAAATCTTGCTCATACCTACATTACATCACACTCTTGTGTAAATTTAGGTCATCAAACTGCTTGGACCTTGACCCAGCAATTTACACACCCTATTCCACCCCCAGGCTTAGTACCCTCACCCCCCGCCCCCCCCCACACAGACAAATACACAGCCACAAAGATAACAAACATACTAGCACTCAATTTATTACCTTATCAGTTATGTTTCGGTTACTAAAAGGAACAGTCAGCAATAGTTTATTCATTAGATAGATTTGATCGCTCCAAACTGTTTTAAATTTTTTTTAAATATTACAATGTCATCTTTTAAATGGCTCATAAAATTTGCTGTATAATGGTTTTACTAGAGTACTGAATGCAGACATACACTTCAAATGGGCCTAAACATTTTTCTTTAAAGACAGATACCATGTCAAGACAAACTGCCCCATAAAATTTAGAATGGATCATGGGCTCCAGCCTTACCCTACCTAGCAGCCTGATCAAATGTGAATGACTGTATCTCAAGGTTTTTAATTTGTATGTTTGTAGTTATAAAACATTATTATTCATCTGTCTATACAAATCATATCAAAAGTTCCCTTGCTGGGGGAAATAGGGGATAGGAGGCAGGACTAATTTGCAGTTGCCACTTGGATGGACAGAACATGTGGAGATTCACACTGTTAACTTTTGCACTAAGAACCGCTACAGGAACATGGCAGGAAAACGGAAGAAATTCACAGACCCTTTGAAAGAAGTGGCTTGCCACTGAAAACTCCATGAGATAGCTGAAAACCTGTGAGTGCACAAAGTGTAAAGGAAGAAAATCTTCCTTTAAACACACATCCTCACTGAGAAACTGAAAATCCAGAATATGGGAGAAGGATTTAACCTTACTTAGAGCTGAAATGAATTTAGAGAGCCATCTAAAATAAAAAAGAAGAAGCACTGAGAAGAGCCCTGTAGGTACTCTCAGTCCCCATGGAAACCCAGGGAAGCCATTTTTGACTTTATCTCACAGAGGTTCTCAGAAAGGGCAGCCAGTGGAATTAGGGAAGGGCCACAGGGAGGAGACTTCCAGCTGAACTTTGTAAAAATTTTGACCAAGTAAAAATTATTCTGGGCAGATCTGGGAGTGTGAATGGGAAGTACAGATATATGTACAGAAGCTGCAGCAGGTGGGGAGTAGGGAGAGGACTGAAAGCCCTGCTTACTGTCTCAGTGGGAAGGCTTATAGCTTGGAGCAAGATCTCAGCCTTGCACAACAGAAGCCTGAATATAAATTCAGCTCTATTGGCTGTTGAGGGAGCACAGCAAGGGTGAGACTGGCCTTGCTGGCTGAGTAGGAACTTAGTGAAGCCTGTCACTGCTGGCTTTTCCTCACTTCCCTAGTGACCTGTAGGAAGTAGCAGAGGCAGCCATAGTCCCCCTAGTAACATAACTCCATTGGCCTGAGAACTACATCCCCATCTTCCACAGTGGCCACAGCAAGCCCCACCCAAGGACAGTTGGAGTTCATATATGCCTAATCCTGCCCAGGGTTGGACGATGGTCTTTCTATACCCAACCTTGTAGCTAAAGACAAAAGACATAAACTCATGAAAGCTCCATGGCCCCATTTATCACCTGAAAACCCTGAATACTTATTCAGGTGACCTAAAGCTGTTTCCCCCATTTTACCACAGCTTATGCTGTCTTGAAACCAACTCAAGCTGTTACAGCAGCTCATAACAGAACAATTCTGGTAATGCGACAAAGCAAGTTCTATAACATCCCCAAAAGATCACACTAGCTCACTAGCCATGGATCAAAACCAAGAAGAAATCTTTGAATTGCCAGAAAAAGAATTCAGAAAGTCAATTATTACGCTACTCAAGGAGGCACCAGAGAAAGTTGTAAACCAGCTTAAAGAAATTTAAAAAGTAATGCAAGATATGGATGAAAAAATTTCCAGAGAAATAAATATCACAAATAAAAATCACAACTTCTGGAAATGAAAGACACACATAGAGAAATACAAAAAACACTGGAAAGATTCAACAATAGAGTCTAAGAAGTAGAAGAAAGACCTTCAGTGCTTGAAGACATGGCTTTCAAATTAACCCACTCCAACAAAGACAAAGTAAAAAAATAATAATAATAATAAAAAGAAAATGAACAAAGACTCCAAGAAATTTGGGATTATGTGAAATGACCAA